CCGGGCCCCTGGCAGCTGCCAGCTCCGGGCCCTTACAGTGGCAGGCACACACAGTGCCCTGCCACAGGTAGTGACAGCACAGGGCCAGGCCTAGGGCAGAGCCACAATCCCTGTGATGGGCACCAGTTGCTGCCCTGTGGTTCCCTGCAGAACCAGTGCCCGTTGCAGGGATGTGCAGGAAGTAGTCTGTGGCTCTGCCCCAGGCCCCAGACAGACCCATGCTGTCATCGCCCTACAATTCTGGCCCTGCCCACCTGTCCCACTCCTGGACACCACTCCCAACCCACCGGCCAGCCTCCATGGAGACCCTGCCCACCAACCCAGCCACCCACTCTGGCTGGCACCTCCAGCGGTGGATGTACGGCGGATGGACCCAGGTAGGATAAATTGGCATCTCCCCTTGCATCTGACCCCTGCATCCATGCTGAGGCTGGGTGAGGCCCCAACCCTGCCCACAATAACTCAACAAAATTCCTCAGTGGTCTGCCAGCCACACAAATTGCCCATCCCTGCCCTATACTAAAGGTGGGTAGGGAATGTTTTGGGCAGTCCAGCTTCTTTAGCTTTCTTGCTGCATGGCTTGAGGCTCCCGCTTGGGCAGTCTTTGAAAAGACTATTTGGGACCACCATCTGTGTCTTCTCCAAATGACACAGTTCTGCAGATGAATTGGCCCCGGCAGCTGTGTGTCAACTTTGATGTTTACAAATCATTCAGTAGCAATTAGGGCTGGCTTAATTCCTGATTTGGTGAAGTAAAACACAAGGGCAAAGGCACTAACTTTTGACCCTTAGGGTTCTAACTAGATTAACGATTTCCTAGACTAGATTTCCTAATCATCAGGAAAGTAAAGGGGTTAGGATTACTTCTGAAGCATGGACAGGAGTGGCAGGATCAAAAGGGTCCCTATGCACAGCAGGACTTTGGGATGTTGGGAAGTATGGTAGGTTTGGAGGGGAGTTCAGGTGTGACACAAATATTTTACAGTCAATTCAGCATCCTAATCCGCTCTAAGATTCTCCTAAACCAAGAAAAGGAAAGGTCCAGAAAGACATTTGAGATAGATGCCAAGATGCCTGCAAATAGTGGTGACATCCCAGTTATGGTGGACTTGAAGACTGGCTCTCCTGACATGCGAAACATCAGATCCACCCAGATGGCCTTTCTTGTGCTGTGTGGAATTTAGTGGTCAACAGTGTTATTCACAAGTTTATTCCCATCACACATGTTGCTGTTTAGAGGAGGGCACAGGCCCAGCAGTAGATAGCTTCCCATCCCAGCTCTTCCAAAAGCACTGACTCATGTCCCTAACTGCAATTATTAATGTTGCTCAGGAAAAACAACGTGTCTCGGGTGAAATGCACGCTATAGTACGTTTTCTATTTAGACCAAAATAGTTTATAGTTTACTCTGTCTGTTCCAGGCTCTGGGAACTGGTTATTAATGTAATTAATGAATTCATATATAAGGCTACATGGGGTGTAATTTATTTAAGAGATGCCACTGTCTCAGATTTTGCAGGCTGGCTTGGTGACTCTAACTCATCTCTTGCCTGTCTTCTGGAGCCCCCTGTGCTCCAGCTGCAGAATGACTGGAGGATGTTCTCCCCGTCAGGCCTGGCTGTGACTCATGTTGCTATAAACGCAGTCTCCCATCATATAATGAATCCAAGCTCTTCCAACTCAAGTGCCATTTGGGAAAGCTCTTGATTTTTGTTATGATACTGTCTCCTCTCTCCCCTCTGCCTTCTGGCAGCTCCACTCCTGCACTCTATCATTTCCTGATACATATCAGAGATGGGAATCTGAGGCGCTTTTTCCAAACAGGCTACTTATGGGTTCCAGTTTATTTCAAGGATTATATGGGCCAAGTTTCAGTGTTAACCCTTCTGGGGAATTTATGCATGTATAAAATTAAAGGATGTAATTGTTCTCTGCCTGGAGGAGGGACCATATCCTGTAATATTTACTCTTTCTGGGCCATTATGATCAAAGCTTTACATCTGCAGTATCTATGTGAGAAATCTCCCTCAATCCTGGTCCCATTTGTAGTATACCAAAGCGTGAGGATCAGCACTAATAGCATCCAGCTTCTCAGCCTCTAAGCCTGTCCAAAAACATTGGGCTTTGCCGCCTTTTCAAATCTCACAGGAGCTTTCAGGGCTTTGAATGGAGCCTGCCCAGCCCATACAGACAAACAAGGCCTCTAGTTTAGGACAACTATCCACCCCCCCTGCCCTTTGCCCTGTGCCCTAGAGTGAAGCTACAGGGGTTGAAGTTACAGTCTGGGTTCTCTCCCACCAACTCTTTATGAGCTTTTTAAAGCTGCCCTCTCCCTTAGCCTCCTTTCTGAAACCCATGCTAAAGGGGTCACAGAATGCAATGTATTGCAAGGCAGCCATCTACAGAGCAACCCAGATGAATCTCATGGGAACTACGGTAGATCCAGGAGATGCTGGCCACACAGCTGTATCAGCATACTCTTACCCTGAGTCAACAGTCAAATTCCTCTTAGCATATATGGATGGGAAGTGTCATGGCTGCACATCTGCTGGAAAGTCTTGCCAAAACTAAGGGAAGAGGAAGAGGAGAGAGTTCTTCTCTGTCTACCCAATCTTCTGACTCACCAGGGTCCCCAGAAACACTTCACTTCAGTTCTGAGGACAGGGGACTATGTTCTGGGTGTCAGTGATTGTCACCCCCTACCTTTTTATACTTGCTGAAAAGATTGTCTTAAATAATGGATTTTTTATTATATTTTCACAAATACCCAGATAAAGCCATTAAAATACCATGTAAAGTACAGTTACACAGAGGAGCATAACACTAATAAAGCCTGGCACAAAGGGGCACTGAGACAAGCCAAACGTATCACTGTGCATTTCCAGGAGCTTCCCTGCTTGCCACAGCTACATATGAGGTGCTAGGCTAGAACCAAAGCTCTCTTTTTTAGGCATAAGTTTAAACAATGATACATAAATGCAAAGATCAGAGAGAGATACAACAGACGCTCATCTGCAAAGGGGGGTACTACTCAAGCACTAACAAATGCAGGCCAAGAGAGTTGGCTTAAAACTTCCCACCCCCCTCAAAACTACTGCTCACAAGATTGCTAACCCATGGTGGTCCACTTAGCCATTTCACAAAGAGTCTGCTTACATTTGAATATACCTAGCAAAGCTTTTGTCTATGCATCTATGTGAGGATTGGTTTTGTATTTCCTGTTCAGCCACATGAGAGTTTATTGTCAGTGACCATGGAAAAATGATCCAGGAAGAGGCTGATGATACTCCATTTGCATCTTCAGAAGCAGCTCCAATGCAATAAGCCAGTACCATTTGTGTGCTGAGAAGTTCCAATTATGCAGTGAAGGTGTTTCTCACATGGGACTCTGAATCCAGAGAACTGGAAGGAGAGAAAGAAAAATTGAACAAATTAGAGATAACCTCAGCCTGCTGGCCAACGTTCCTTCTCAATAAGCTTCCATCCACATCCCAAGCTCCATTAGACCGACCAAAGCCCTCTCAAGTCAATGAAAAGGTTAAACCCTCTGGAAAGTTCCTGCAGGACACAGAAGGGCCATTGAATTGGCTTGCAGTCATTAGCTGAAATGTTCAAATATGAACAAGCTAGCAGAGAGCAGATTTAGATTGGACTTTAGGAAGAACTTCTTCACAGTTCGAGTGGCCAAGGTCTGGAACGGGCTCCCAAGGGAGGTGGTGCTCTCCCCTACCCTGGAGGTCTTCAAGAGGAGGTTAGATAAGCATCTAGATGGGGTCATCTAGACCCAGCACTCTTTCCTGCCTATGCAGGGGGTCGGACTCAATGATCTATTGAGGTCCCTTCCGACCCTAACATCTATGAATCTATGAGTGCCTAAAGTGAGGCATCTCAATTCCAGAGCAAGGTTTGTCTATAGGTAATGCTTTTATTGGAATAAATTCCAATAAATAATAAATAAATGAATAAATAACTCATTACACCTTCACTGGCAATCCTTGCTCAAGTCGGCACACTTACTCCAGCATGCCCCAATGCTTTTCACTACCAGTTATGCTCAGGGAACTGATGCAAACAAGCTGTACTAACCAAATCACTTTTTTTCTTGTATAATCCCATCTAGACAGAACCTTCATTGGTGTAAATGTGTCAAAAAGGAAAAAAAAATCATGCCCCCACCAAACAGTAACTCTGCTGGCCAAACTTTTACATACAGACACCTGGCCTTAGACACTGACAGGAGTAGTTTGATTTTCAAAAATGCACCCACAACTCCCAGTGTCTCACAAATCACCATTGGGCTACTTGGCTGTCCACAGAGCTCATGTATCTGGAGGCCAGATAAAAGCAAATGTGTAATAGGATACTGGTACTCAGAGCCCTCCCTAGGATATGGCGAATCAGGGCAACTGCCCCAGGTCCCACACTTTGGTGGGGGGGGGCCATGGAGCCAGACAGAGCTGGCGGCTCAGCTCCACACTGTGCCGAGGAAGAAGCACGGAGACCCCTCCCCCCCCCACTTTGCAGGGGTACCACGGCCCTGTGCAGTGTTAAGGGGGCCCTGCACAGGATGATTTGCCCCAGGCCCTACACCCCACTAGCATCAGCTCTGCTGGTACTCCAAGAAGCCATGAATGCTTAAGAGCAGATCAAAACAATCCCCCTAGAGAAGTGCTACACCTGCACTGGCATTTATGGAATATCCCCGTATAGTTGATGCTACCAGAGTTTGAGAGCTAGAGGGGATGGGCTCCACAGGGTGGGAGAAGGTTACGGGTAGGGTAACGAAAGGGAGGGGAAGAATAAGAAATAGGAAAGAGGAGGCAGAAGGAAAAACTTCTTGGGTTTAATGTGTAAATATGAGAGATGCCTGCCCAATGACCAGTGCCTTCAGACTTCTCACTAATATTCATGGAATGGCTAGGTCACTTCCCTGCCCTCTTGCATGCATTTTATTCTCCAGTATGCCTGTTGGGTGCCTACAGAGAACAGGGGTAGGGGGAGGACTGATCTCTCCTGTCTGTTCTTAAGAGAAATTCTATCACCCTTTCCCATATACTGTAGTGGAATAAATGTTTGATCCTAGTCCCTTCTAGAGTCCCAGCCTAGGCTCAGTCTCAAGTGAACCAGGAGAGTGCAGTGGGACAACCCTCAAAATTCACTGTTGTTAGCTGAAGGTCTCTCTTCTTTTATTTCTAGATAAGCTAAGACAAAACACCCATCCCTGAATCAGGAGGGTCATCTCTCCATTAGATCCTCTCATCCCCGCCATGTTCCCTCCCATACAGCCCTAGGAATCTTCTCTGTGGCCTTGACTGTTTGGAGCTACAAACAAAGCAATCTTTGTACAAGAACAATTTTGTTCCAGGTTCTCAGTGTAACAAATTATAGCACTTTTATAGGTAGTTTCACACTCCTTCCCCTCTGATGTTAGGAACACTGCACTGAGCAGCTTATTAGAAGACACATCTTGCTGGATTCTTAGAAACCCCTCATAATACCTGCCAAACCAATACAAAAAAATCAATAATACATCAATCACAGACCAGCTCTCGGTCTGCTCTGCACCATGACATCTAGTCATAGGTCTGCATCCCATAAATCATCTACTAAGTGCTCTCTGGCAATGATGGATAAAGATCTGCAAGAGCAATGAAGAATAACTGATGCATGCATCAAGAAATTTCTTGACACTTTGAAATGGTGAAAGTCTTTAATATTTTACGACACGGAGGACATCACTGTACCATTTTGAATGGTTTACCTAATAATGTTCTTTGGTGGTAGTTTCACCAACCGTCTTCAGTGGCTAGTGGAAACTGAAGGCAGATATTTACTGTGACTTAAAGCTGTTTGTAGAAGTATAAAATCTGTCTTCCAGTAGGGGTGGGAGAGGGGGAGGGGGGAGGGGTAAGAAGAATATAAATATGTAATGTCATTCCTTTATCCAAAAGAATCCCTCAGCCCTTTACAGAAAAATCAATTCACAGTATTGAAATGTTGCCCTCTCTGACAAAATTAAGAATAGTCAGATGAAACAAGAGCAGGAGTATCAGGTATGCAGAATACAATTACCCAAATTGGAGATTTGCTCATGAACCACAGAACTAGTCCTAGTTAGGTAGTAAGAATAGACATGCTCATAACCAGGCAGGGTGCATCTACGATCTACTTGCTAAGCAATAGACTTCAAGGTTTAATTTGTGTAAGGTCAAAATGATGGTGGGGGATAAGACCTTTTTCAAGCCCAGGATGCAGTAAAATTGTGAGTGCTTTAATTTTTTTTTTTTTTTTTTTACATGTGGGTTCTAAATGCCAGTTTAATCGCATGGATAAATAGTGGCTACATTTTATTTGTTTCTAGATGATCTTATTTTAGGCTGGATATTCCGGGGGGAAATCCACTTATTGAAAGGAATTGAAAGCAGTAGAAGAACTATTCCGAGACCACACTGTGACCAGTTCTTTCAGCCTTATTCTTAAACATGTAGTTAGAATGAAGCATCTCTTTTTCTAAACTTCATTGTACATGAGATATGCATTTTAAAACGACACCTCCTCAACAAGCCATGAATTTTACATAGTGTGTCTGTCACTTCCCTCTATTTTCAGCGCACGGCCCTGCTGTGGTGGTCTTAGGGTTGTTGGGACCCTGTGCAAGAGAGTCATTTGGGGTGCCTTAGAGGCTTAATTTTGATGACCTATAAGCAAGTCAGACATTTTCAATTTCAATTTCACTTTACCCTATCCATGAAACTGCAATGAAAGCATCTTAATGCAATATTGATAATACAAATATTCAGTGCGTGACAAGGGCCAGCTCCCAGGCTCAATGGTCACATTGGCCTGCCTCCTGTCCATGGGCAAACCACCTGCCTACTTGCCTGCCACACCTTGCTGTTAAGTAATTAGGATCTTAATTAGGCAGGAGGCTGCCCTTCATGCACCCAGATGTCTGTGGGCAATATATGCATGCTCCTACTACCCCTATATGTGTCCCATGCCTTGCAGATGACACACTATGTGATGATACTTTGGCTCAAGGCCGGGTTAAACTGGGCACACAGTTGGATCTTTGTCATACTGCCCTCTTCAGGGTCACACACATACTGCCCCCCTCTCACTGGGGCCTCTTGCACTCCATCAGCTCTCACCCAGTCTCTTTCACACCATCCTCTTTGGGACCACACTCATATCCCCCTGCTCATGGAGGTCATTGGGCTTATCTCTCCACCCTTTGGTCAGCCCTGGCACAGTCTCTTGGTACCTCCCTGGGCCCTCACCTGAACAGGACTGAGTGATTACTCAACTATGGGCCTATGTTGGCCCTGGCCCCTCACTGGACCACTACGCCCCTCTCTCAGGCCACAGCTCCACCCCTTACACTGGGGCCTGGGGTCTTCCACCCCGACAGGTTCAGGTGCTTCTTTCCTAAGCATGCCTGCCCTTCACTCTGCCCTTTCATCAGGGCCTGGGGTCTGACACTCCTTGGGCTCAGGTGCTCCCTCCTGAGTGTGCCTGGCCCACCTCCAGGGTCCAACACCCTATAGGACTCATGTACTTCCCCTAAGCTTACCTGGCCACTCCAACTCTCTCTGTAACCCACCCAAACATGGGGGCGGAGCTTTAGACACCCCGGCCCACCTTATACTGGGGAGGTTCTTGGTCCTGGCATTTGAGTGGCCCTGTGCTGCCACAGGCAGGACCATCAGGCCTCCTTATCCCTGCAGGGTGAAGTTTTAGGTCATGCTCAGGACCCATGAGGCCTCCTCCTTCCCCATAGCTTCACCCTTACCCCTGAGATGTCCCACAAGCAGAATCTCAACAGGGAGATATTTCTCCCCTGCTGGCTGATCTCAAACTGCTCCTTCCAGCACTGAGAGCTGGGCATTAAGTGGCAGCCCTAATCAGGCACCTGCTCACTCCCTGCTTTAGCCTTTGAAGTGACAGGCACCCAGAGGGTGCTCTGTCACACAGTGTAATTTATATTTATTTTTATGAAGTGTGGGGTCCCAGGCAGTCACGCTTCCCTAAGGCTGCTACTGGGCCCTCCTATGGTTACATTAGTAAGATTTGCTTATCAGATGTGAACAGCAAGCCAAATCCTACTCTGATCATCTCAGTCACCAGACACATGCTGTATATAAATCAATTCAGAATGAGACCCTTTACTTATTATTAATATACAAAAATGCTTTCCCCCAAACAAGTGCAGTGTCATAAATTCACATTAGTGTTCTCAGACTCTGTGATATAATGGTAAAATTATGGGGCACAGCAGCACTTTCCATTAGGCTTGATTCTGTACTCTTTGTGCACCCACAACCAGAGACGATACTCCAAGCCCAAAGGGAAGTAATCCCAACAAGGATCAAAGGGGGCAAGAGGGCACAAAAGCCCCCATG